CAGCAGGTGGACATCCCCCGAGGGGTCCCAGACTGCGAGAGGGCACAGGCCAGGCTGAGGGACCACCCCGAGTGCACACATTTTTGTGCACCGGGCCTCTAATATATATATATCCTAATATATAAAAACCCAGGGTATATAATGACTGAAGGCTCGACCGATAAGAAGTCAGTCCTGCAGTCAGTGCTGGGTTGCCGTGGCAGTTGGGGGTGATCAGGCCAGCAGGGGAAGGCAGTTGAGGGCGATCAGGCCGGCAGGGGGAGGCAGTTGTGGGCGATCAGGCTGGCAGGGGAGGGTAGTTGGGGTCAATCAGGCCAGCAGTGCAGGGCAGTTGAGGCGATCAGGCCAGCAGGCGAGGGTAGTTGGGAGCGATAGGGCTGGCAGGAGAGTAGTTAGGAGTCAATCAGGCCAGCAGGGGAGCGGTTAGGGGATGAGACATCCCCCGAGGGGTCCCAGATTGGAGAGGGTGCAGGCAGGGCTGAGGGACACCCCGCCCCATGCACGAATTTTGTGCACCAGGCCTCTAAGTATAAATATATATGGTGACATATTTATGTATTTCAGTTCTCTATTCTATGTTTCGAAATGTTATTTGCTATTTTTTCCTATCACTTCATATGATTATGATGATGATTATTATTATTAAATATATTTTGTTGATTTTTTACAGAGAGGAAGGGAGAGGGATAGAGAGTTAGAAACATCGATGAGAGAGAAACATCGATCAGCTGCCTCCTGCACACTCCCTCCTGGGTATGTGCCCGCAACCAAGTTACATGCCCTTGACCAGGAATCGAACCCGGGACCCTTGAGTCTGCAGGCCGACGCTCTATCCACTGAGCCACACTGGTTAGGGCATATGATTATTATTTTTAACCGTGTCTTCATGGTTTCTTCCTCAGTACTTCCACAGTCCTTGCGTTATTTTGTCTTTCTCTTTCATGGATGCTGTGTCCCTTGGACGCTTGTGTAGACCATGTGAATGGCCTTTGAGGCTTCCACCATGTGAATGCGAGTTCACTTTTTGAATAATAAGGATTATATGTCACGGGAGGGGGGCATTGGGATTTCAGAGACGCTTAAGTGGGGCATGGCCAAGAAAATGTTGGGGACCATGGCTTTAGACCATGGCTATAAGGTGCAGATATTTCTTTTTACAGAATTAAAACTCAACCTTCCATAAAGAGTCAATGATGGTGCCTGGGCTCGGCTAACATGGCTCAGTGGTTGAGCGTCCACCTATGAACCAGGAGGTCAGGGTTCGATTCCCGGTCAAGGGCATATGCCTGGGTTGCGGGCTCCATCCCCAACAGGGGGCGTGCAGGAGGCAGCCGATCCATGATTCTTCTCCATCATGGATGTTTCTCTCTCTTTCTCTTCCTCTCCCTTCCTCACTCTGAAATCAATAAAAATAGATTTTTTTTTAAAAAAAGCTAATGATGCTAATGCTAATTGTGTGTCCTTGGGTGGACTCATTACATGTCTTAAATGATGCCTGGTAGATGAGATGCAGGATTTCGGAGCCTGCAAAGAATAATGAGAGAGAGAGAGAGAGAGAGAGAGAGAGAGAGAACCATCCTAAATCTTCATCATAGAGCATCTTGACCTGTGCAAAAATTAAGGACACACAGGGTGACCCGGAAACATGTGGGATGAACATCTGGAAAGACCTGGGGTGAGGTGGGAAGGTGTCTTGTGTCATGGCTGAGCTATGTCTGCAAAGGATGGGTTTATATAATTTAGGACACACCGTGCGTGTGTGTGTGTGTGTGTGTGTGTGTGTGTGTGAAGGGAGCTTCGTTCATTGCAGGTCGCCAGTGAGCCAAGCGCAATGATGACAGAGACTTCTGGAGGAGGCAGAGAGCAATGGCTGCTTACCGATGATCGCCGTGCTGTATCCCTGCTCCTTGACCAGGTGTGCAAATGTGGTTTCGTTACGCGGGAGTCCAGAAAGGGCCGCGAGAGAGACGATGACCCGGTCGTTTCCATTGGAAACCATTCCTAAAGGGGATGGACAAACACGACCCAGGTGGACACCAGGAGTAGGTAGGTGCTCATCGCGGGAAGAGGGAGCGAGTCCTGCCTGGAGGGTGGAGAGCTTGGAAGGTGGGCAGAGGACGAACGGGGCAGAGGTATCAAGGTGTCGGGGAGGAAATTGTGTTCTCCAAAGACAAAACTCACACGGGTCCATAATGCAAAACCCCTTTAAACCCTTGTGTGCAAACACACAGACACACATACACACCCATGACACCTTCAGATACACCCCAACCCACTGTCCTACTTCCATAGACAATGGCTGATGGAACATCTAACCTGCACCTGCCCTCAACTGGGGCATCTATGACCCAGAAAAGAAGTCGAGAAATGAAATCTTGCTGGGCTGGTGTGGCTCAGTGGTTGAGCTTGGACCCATGAACCAGGAGGTCCTGGTTTGATTCCCAGTCAGGGCACATGCCTGGATTGTGGGCTCGATCCCCAGTAGAAGGCGTGCAAGAGGCAGCCGATCAGTGATTCTCTCATCGTTGATGTTTCTATCTCTCTCCCTTCTCCCCTCTCTCTAAAAATCAATAAAAACATATTTAATAAAAAGAACAAGAAAAATGAAATCTTATGGAGACTTCAAACTTTTGTGTTTCTACTAGAAATTTTTCCTAATAATAAAGTCTAGTTCTATTTGTAGGACAGATGTATAAGCTCATTTCCTGGCCAGAACCTGAAGTTGGGGCATCTCGGAAGAGTAGACACATTGGTTTTGAACCCCTTATGACTAGAATTGATGTCAAGTAGGTGGGTGGGACCAGTCACCCTGAGACTGAAGACTCATAATTCATGAGCAAGGAAGGGAAGAAAGCAAATGAAGTTTTTGAAGGATTCAGGAGCAGAAGAACACCCCGAGATTGCCAACAGGTGTCCCTGGTGGGTGGTTAAAACTGGGGAGACTTTGCTTAACCCCATTGGCAGTGATGCCAGGATCCTGGGTGCATTGAACATTCTTGAGCAATCGAGTTAGGCCTGGACAGTTCTCCAAACGGGTCCATCCTGACTTCCTTCCAAAATACGGGCCAACTCAGGGAGTGGATACAAAATTGAGTAACTCGGAACAAAGCAGGTAAAGAGAAAAAAAAAACACACAAACATTTTCAGACAAAACTAGGTCAGGAAGTCTCAGTGAGCCAGCTGCTCAGATAAAAATCAGGAGAGCAAATCAGGGCAGGAATTCTCAGAGAGTGAGTGCCTATCTTTTTTATTTTTATTTATTTTTTAAAAAAATATACTGTTATTGATTTCAGAGAGGAAGGGAGATGGAGAGAAAGACAGAAACATCCATGATGAGAGAGAATCATGGATTGGCCGCCTCCTGCACGCCCCCGACTGGGGATGGAGCCCACAACCCGGGCATGTGCCCTGAGCGGGAATCGAACCGGGAACCTCCTGGTTCATAGGTCGACGCTCAACCACTGAGCCACACTGGCCAAGCCCCCAATTCTACACACACCTGATCGGATCGGGTACCTTCCCGTGAGGAAAGCGGACCGGCTTGGGGTGCACAGGGAGGCGGCGGCGATGTGCTGGGTCAGTTGGACACCATCTCTGGCTAAGCTGTCGATGTTGGGGGTCCTGGGAAGAGAGGTGGAGGGGATGCTGAAGAATTGGGGTGGGAGGAGGGAGGAAGAGAGAGAGAGAGAGAGAGAGAGAGAGAGAGAGAGAGAAAGAGACATAGAGACATAGAGAGAGGGCGGGGAGGGAATGGTGGGGAGGGAGTGACAGAGGCAGAGACAGACAGAGAGACACAGAGAAACACACACACACACACACACACACACACACACACAGATCTGAAGGTTAAAAACATCTGTTTTCGCCCTGACCGGTGTGGCTCAGTGGATAGAACGTCGGCCTGGGGACTGAAGGGTCCCGGGTTTGATTCCGGTCAAGGGCATGTACC